AGGGGAGCAGAAAAGTTTTCCTGGTTTGTCCCAGAGTGGCCACAAGGGCACCCTGGGAAGGGTTGGGGGCCCCCTATTTCAAAATAAGCGTCTACACAGTGCTTATTTTGATTTAGCTATTTCAAATTTGATATTATTCCTCATAGAATGAGGTTTACCAAATTCGAAATAAGCGCTCCGTTATTTTGAATTAATTTCTAAATAATGGTTTGGCTGTATAGACGCTAGGAAAGTTATTTCGAAATAACGGTTGTTATTTCAAATTAACTTTGCCGTGTAGACACACCCTAATTGGACTAATATTGAACAGAAGAAAGCACTTCTGTCATCTGGAGTGAATAGCATTGATACCACAACACTCAACAACCACTTACCCAGATGGTCCAACTAAGACCAATGGTTAAGCTAAGTTGTCCGGCACTGATTTAATGGTGGTTTTTAGTACCTCTTTCAATTTAATATTATTTATTATTTATCATTAATTATTATGATTATTACTTTTTTCTTTGGAAAAGGAGCTTCCAGAGCCTCAGGTCCATGAAAATCTCCTCCCCCTGCTTAAGGATTCTACCTTACATCACTGCAGTACCCAGGAGAATCAAGAATAAAACTTTTCATATCCTTGATGAATTATCAAAGTACATTTTTGAGAGGAAAGAACCGCAGACCTAATAGATTATGATTCAGAGCTGTACAGTGAATAGATAACTTACTGCATAGATGAGAAAATATGACAACAACTTCTAAGGAAGGAAAATGAGTAAACCACAAAACCTCCCTCTTAGAAACAGTTAAAAACATGTTTAAGGTGTCTTTTCTTTACTGCCTCACAAATTGCCAACAACTGCAGCAGCATCAAGTGTTTTAAATAAGGGATTTTGGTCATTGGAATTGGGACTCTCAAGAAAATGATGCCACTTGTCATATTCATTATGATTTCTTTTTTTATTCAACTCACAGGTAAGATTGGTTATTTTCCCCTGAAGTCTTCAAGCTGTGAATTGATTTAGTGTTAGTGCTATCAAATAATTGCTGTTTTATGGAGGAAAATGCAAATTAAAAACATTGTACAGACACAGATAAAACTTACCATTTGATAAAACACATAAACAGTTTTTAAAGTTTTTGTGTACTGTGCCTAGTTTAATATTTTAGATAATCTGTTACCATCACAATTTATATTTTGATTTATATAACTTACTCCAATTTGATGGAGAATTTGTAGTAACTTATTAGATAACTGACAAAATTAAATATAACCTTCCAACAACTGTTGAATTTACTCTGTTGGTCAGTTAGTGCAAGTTCAAAATACTGTTTGGAATTTCTAAACATTAAGTGAATTAACAGGAAATGGGTTAGTTGGAATATCATTACTAATTGTGTACATTGATTTCTGAGAATAATCTATATATTTTTTAAACAAGGGGGATAAATGGGGAGAGGCCACATATCTGTTCTTCGAGAATTTTATTTTTCATGTTAAAGGTTTAATGCAAGTTTTACTTCATTAGATGTCACTAAAGATAACGGAGTCTCTTTTAAGTACAGCACAACAGATGTTATCACCTTCACAGATATATGTTTCTTAATACAAATGGGTATAATCAGGTGATCATCTGCAAAAATACAACTACCATCTGCAAAAACCATGACCAGATTTAAACATTACATCATTTGTTTTGTTACATTTTGCAAAAGCATATTTCCATTATGATTAGGAAAGGTGGGAGATTCTTGCAGGTTTTCTTTATTTTTGGAGAATATATATATATGTATGTATGTATAAAGTGAAAGGATTAATCTTATTTAATTCCAGAACAACGAGAGAGATGAATTTGTAACACTTCTTCACAGAGAACACTTCCAGTTATGATTTGAAAGCACTTAGGGACAGAATCTAAGGTCAAGAATGAGGAAGTAGGGGGCTTTCATATGCTCCACTCCTGAAGGCAGCCAAGGCTCCATCTGGCAGGCAGAACAATTTAGAGCAGTCCTTAGACAGCTCTAATTTATGCTGACTGGAACAGCCATTTGACTCCTCCCACTGACCTGGGAGTGGCTGAGAACAGTGTGCTTCAGCTGTATTCCTTACAACATTTGATACACCCAGCAGTCCTATTATGCTGCAGGTAAACAAGTGCAGGTAGTATAGTCTATATTGACTATATATAGGGATTCCCCTATTTAAACTCAAATGTCCTGTTAGTATAGCTTTCTGAGTGCTTTGCACTGCTTAACAGAAAATATATTAATGAATTAGAAGGCTATGAATGTTCTGTCTCTTGTACCTAACAATCTTACTTTAATTCATATTCTAGGCATTTTTAGTTTAAAACAGTGTATATAATCATTTCAGGTACATTCACTCCCTGTGTCTTTCTGCTGCATTATGTGTTTATGTATGAGATAATGTAATGCAAGCACCCTTTATTTGATACTCTGTATGTACATATATTGTGTACATACACCCTCTAAGGAACATCTATACAATATAAGACTTTATTGCATATTGAAATAAGAGGGTTAACAAAAATTAATACTTTTGGGTGTGATGATATGAAGTGCTGAAAATGAAAAATGGTAATGACCACAACCAACATTGTCTGGATCATAGCAATAAGATGAGCTCATTATACAACCAGTAAGTCTGGGTTCTCATTTTAATTAATTTTATTACATGACCAGTAAATCTGCATTCCCATTTTAATTAATTTTATGAAAAAAAAGCAAAATGTTATTAGTAAAATGCAGACAGGACAAACACTACTGCAATGTTTAAGATAATTCTACAATAAATATTTACTGTGTATTACATTTAATCATGTGCTTCTTATTTTCCTGGACCCCTTCCTAAAAGACAGGGTGGAGATTCTGGCCCTCTACAAATAAAATCCAATTTTTTATCATTTGAATTAAGATAAACAATTTTTTCCTTGATTTCACCCATCTCTTTCATGTGTTCTTGGCTTTCTTTTTACTTATACAAACAGTCTGATTATAACTAGTATCATTTCTCAGTTCTAAATAAAATTCTGAATGTAGAAATTAGGTTTTTCATGCTGTTTTTCTTAGAGTAATAAAATTATCAATGACATGTCCATTCCAAATTGTAAACCAAGACTACAGTCATTAGAACTGTAGCATAGGAAATGTATATGTCAGGGTTGCACAATGGTCTGCATAAAGACATTCTCTTATTGTGTCAGGGCTTTTTCTTGTTTTATAAACAACTTATTAATTTAATATCATTGTTCGTAAACGTATATATTCATACTAACACAATTTAAATATTAGTGTCTATTTAACTCCTTTCAGCAGCTAATTATCCTAACACAGGTTGGACCTCCCAAAACTGGGAGACTCTGATCCGATAAACAACCATGGATGTTCCTGGACTGGGGAGTCCTAGTTGGGAGCCTCAGTGGCAAGAGGGCTGGTGACAGGGAGCCCAGTGGGTCTGGAGCCCAGGTAGCACATCCAGGGCTGCAGCAGTCTTAGTAGCGGGGCCAGGGATAACACTGGCATGCAACAGCCCCAGTAGTGGGGTTGGGAGTGGGGCTGCAGCAGCCTGGGTGGCCAGGGCTGCAGCAGCATGTCAGCCCAGCAGGGGGGCAGCTAGGGC